TGAACTCGTCTGATCGCTTTCCTCTTATTATCTTTTGCCTCTGTTGAGCAATAATAATCGTTGTTTGTATGGCACGATCGTAAATCTATTTGTAAAATACAATAAAAAAAAAGTATATAAAAAAAAAAATTCTTTTCTTTTCTTTTTCTTTTTACTGCATAGAGTGATAAAAGAAGCAAGTCGGATTACAATTTTGTCGAAATCGTTTGAAATTAATGACATGATTAAACGTAATTAAAATTTTAATCGATATTAAATTTAATATACATCATAATAAGAAATTGTATATAATATATAAATTTAATATAAAGTAATATTAAATATCCTGTAATCTTACTTGATAAAATTTAATCAATGATAAAAAGTAATGGTTTTATATTCTTCGTTGTAAGGTTTATAAATTTCCGAAATACTTTCTTATTAACACCCTAAGCATTAGAAAAAATATATATATATATATAACGTTTTAAATCATAAAAATTTAACTGAAAATTAATTCAATTTTTTGTACGTTTGTTTCATTCGGATAAAATTAAAATTAAAATTAAAATTAAAATTTATAATCAAAAAGAAAAAAAAAAATCATTGAATGATAAAATTTTAGATAAAATATCAAATTCGAGTGCCTGTACTGAATTTTCGATTTCATCGTTTCAAAAGGACGACATATCGTCTGCCATCTCTTCCTCGATCGATCGAGCAACAAAGTATTCGTTATTTACAAATTTGTGACAGTTAATCAGCACCGACAATTTAGCAATCATCCGTCACTCTATTGCTTCCGTTTCCGACATTGTTAACATTTATACTAAAAAAAAATTACATAAAAATAAGCGCCACATATTTGCGATTTTATACACATCTAATGTAAGTGCCACTTACAGCTCTGCTTGCTTTGTAACGATCCGAACTGCAATCTTTTATTTTATTTTTTTTTTTTTCTTAAAAAAGAAAATCGCTAATCGGAACTTTAACCATCATCACACATATTATATCTAAACGTATATAATGATGTATATATTAATTAGTAATTATGAACAAATTCGTTCATATTTGTTCATTATATCACGTGTATACAAGAAGAAGAAAAAGAATATATATATTACAACTTAGCAGAGGCAGAGCGAGTATTTTAAATACGATGTCAAAAATTGTCTTTCATTTGTCACAGTTATTGTATAATGGCACATTTTTCTTCTTTTTTTTTTTTTTTTTTTGTATTGACAAAAAATAAAAAATTGACATAAAACTCGAAATTTTAGAAAAGTCTTACAAGATGATACTAATAATTAAAAAATAATAATAAAAAAAATGATAATAGTAATGAAAATTGGTCAGATAATTAAACAATTTTCTTTCATTATACATATAGTACAAATTCAATAATCAACGTGGCATTTCTTCGAAAAAGCTTAAAAGTGTTGGGCTGTTCGTACAAAATATTTGCTATATGTACAAATTCTTTCTTTTTTCTATCTTTTTCTCATTACCGCTTTTCATTTTATCCTTACACAGATATCAAACAAACAACAATATCAAATTTTTCTATATGGCCCACCGGTACGACGTAAAATTAATTCAACATTTACATGTATATAATAGTCTACAAACGTAAGATAATCTTTTTTTTTTTTTTTT